GTTTTGCTGAGAATAGGATTCTCAGTCAGCAGGGTTTTTTTTTTCTTTAGCACTTTGAATATATCATCCCACTGTTTTTCTTTTCTCCAGAGTTTCTGATGAAAATTCTGCTAAATATCTTAATAAGAATCCATTGAATGTAGCAAACCACCTGTCTTGCTTCTTCATTTTTGGCTTTTGAAAGTTTTATTATAATGTGTCTGTGTGTTAGTTTTTTTTTTATGTATGTATATCTTAATTGGAATTCATTGAGTTTCCTGGATTTTATATGCCTATCTTCATTAAATTTGGAAAGTTTTCAGCTGTTATTTTTTTCAAATATTTTCTCTGCCCCCCTCTCTCTCTTTCTTCTCCGCAGATTTCATCATTCCTGGTGTTTATCCTACCTTTCTATGATTCAGTTTACTCTCTGTATCATTTCCTTTTAGACTGATGGATTGCTTTAGTATTTCTAGTCTATATCTAATATTTCTAGTTTTAGTTGAGCTAGGCTGCTAACAGTGGATTCTCGTAATTTTTTTTTTTTTAGTTTTCATTTTAAAGTTATTTGAGAATACCTTTATTTGACTTATTTTTGATGAGTAGTTTTTCTTAGATATAGAATTCTGGATAACAACTGTTTTTTTTTTCCTGTTAAAACTTTAAATACGTTATTTGACTCCTTTACGGCCTCCGTTGTTTCTGTAAGCCTTTAACTGTACGTTCCTTCAACTGTGTGTGAATTGTTTTGCACTTAGTACTTTCAAAATTTGTCTTTGTCTTTCAGCAGTTTGACTATCCTGTGTCGAGGTCTGAATCACTTTGTGTGTATTCATTATGCATTTTGGAACTGTAGATAAGTGTTTTTCATTGAATTTTGAGTTTGAGCCAGTATTTCTTCAAATCTTTTTTGTTCTGTTTTTTCTCCCTTTTTGTGGCTCCTGTTACACACATGTTAGTGCATGGTGCAGCTGACCCTTCCTCACAGGTCTCTGAGGCTCTGTTCACTTTCGTTCAGTCTTTTTTCTCTATTCTTCAGATTAGATGAATCATATTGCCATATCTTTAAGTTCTATTCACAGCAAGTGTACTCATTCTATTTTTATTTTAAATCTGCCATTGAGCCCCTCTAGGGAAGTTTTCATTTCAGTTACTATGCTGTTCAACTCTGGCTTTTGGTGTTTTTATACATTCTGTTTCTCTATTGAAATTCCCTTTTTTATTGAAACATCATTATCATATTTTTCTTTAATTTTTAGAACATATTTATAAGAATTGTTTTGACCCTGAATGGTAGACATTGTCAACCTCTTACTATAAATGAGGAGAAACACGCAGAGAGCCCAGTTGACATTTGACTGCATTTATACAGTCACCAAAGTTCCTACCTGAGATGTCGTCCCAAGCCAGTGGATGTCGTCACAATATACTTTCCTTCCTTAAAAGAGAGTCTGTATAAAAAGGCCATTCTTGGCAACTTTGATTAATGAACATATGACCATTTTCTCAGAATTCTACTTCCAATACATGAAAAGTGGGTTCAAGTTATGCCCAAGATTTCAAAATATTTAAATATTTATTCTTAGAGTGGCACTGAATTATCTAAGCCTTCAGGTCTTCAAAAATCCCCATTTAAATGTCAAACAAACACTATTCATATATACTGTGAAGTCAGCAAGATTGTGGTTAGAGATGATTATAAAAAGTAATCAACTTTAAACATCTGAAAGAGCCTGTGTGTGTATATATGTATGTGATTGTTGCCAAGGAAATTTTCATGTAATGCAAATAATTTTCTATACTCTTTTACATGGAACTGGAACATCTATCTCTCTTTCGGTCATTTCAGCAAAATACCAAAAGTACAAAATAATCAAAAGTTCAATTTTGATTGCTCTGACTCTAAAATCTGTTGTGTTCCTGATAGCATGCAGTTTTTAATGTAATCACTCACTACAAAATATTAAATTGCTGTGGGTTAGGGTTAGGGTTTGAGAGTGTGATAGATGAGACATGTGATAAATTGAGAGTGTTTGAGATGAGACATGTGATGAATCTTCGAAGTTCCACCAAAAATAACAGGATTTAGAGTTAATTAAAATTCACTGAAAGATCAAATGTACGATCAGTAGTCTGCCAACCAAAATATGGCAGATCCTTTTATTCAAAAACATAAGGGGCTCTTTGGAAACAATTCTCTTTCCATGTGCCATTTTGAGATTGTTATAGCTCTTGTCCTACATCTAAATAGGCATACAGACAGTTAGAATTTTAACATAAAAATGCAAATCCTCCCCCCCCCACCCAAAAAAGATATAAAAGGGGGAGGAGTGAGAATGTATCTAGTTTGGATATTTTTCTTTAAAAATATGACATCAGTATTATCTACCATAGGTTGAGAGACTTTGTCTTTAGGAAGCCTATGTATAATATATGGAATATTATATATTTCAAGCTCAGTGCTCTTAAAATACTTTCTTAAAATGTTATTGTTGGACTATATCATGTCTTTGAAGTGGAGTATATCTCCCATGAATACTGATGAGTTTGTAATAGCTCTGAGTTCAAAGTCTTTGCCTGATGTGTAGGCTCACTTCACATTACAGCTCCAGACTTCCCACTCTGTTGGAAGACTCTGTATGTTCTGAGTTGGCAGGCTCCCTTGCCCTCTGACTTTCAGTTGGCTTCAGCTACGAGTAGGAACTTTCCAGTCATCTGGGGGCTGGCAGAAAGGGACGTCGGAATATTTAATCCTCAGCTCCCTGTCTCAGTGGAGGAGTGGCCCTGAGTTGAGTTTCCTTCTGTGAGTGGTCATAACTCCTGTCACCTGACGCTCTTCTCTCATCCCTTTCCGTCCCTGAGTGCCGTGCCCCTTCAAGCTAGGGACAACATATGGAGAAGAGTTAACACAGCAGGACTGAATGCTTATCTTTAAAAAGACCTGCTTACAAAGTTGACTGTTGGCTGGCATCTGGAAACTTGGATTTCGTGGCCATTCCTGACATCCTCAGAATTGTTAAGAGTGTCTCGCTGTCCCTTAAATTTTGTACAAATTACATAGTTTATGTTTAACACCTGCTTTCCTTATGAGAGTCTGCAGTTCCAGGATGTGCCAGACACAGGCTGCCGAGGTGAACAGCCTCCTATACAAACCCTGGGCACTGAGTTTCTAATGAACTTCCCCAGTTGGCAACATTTCACATGTGCTTTCACAACATGTTGCTGGGGGCATTAAGCACACACTGTGTGACTGGGAGCTTGTACCTGGTTTCCCCTGGACTTCAGCCATGTACCTTGTTCCTTTGTTGATTCTACTCTGTATCCTTTTGCTACAATAAACCTTAGCCATGAGTAGAACTATATGATGAGTGAACGAATTTCTTAGCTGTGAGTAGGACTATATGGTGAGTGAGTCACTGGTTTGACCCATGATGTTAATAGAGAAAGAACCCTGCTATTCTATTATGATACCTCAGAGTATCTTTCTGTGCCTTTTGATTTCTTTACTCTCTGCCTACCCTTTTGGAAACAGTTTCTTTATTTAGCTCTCTATTAAATCACTTGAGCACGCTTCCTCTTTTTCTTTTGAAAAACTATCACCTAGTGACTGCAGACATTACATATAAAAATATTGATAATTATTTAATTAATTCATGATTTAAAAAAATTTTTACAACAGAAAGATTAATAGTTTAAAAAATAAGTTAACAAAGCTACCTGGGCTTTTGATACCTTATTTAGTGAGAAAGCCTGATTAGATTGTGCATCTCTAAATAGGTGGAGGATTATGCATTTGCTTAAACCAGAAGGAGGTAAATAATCTGGTGGTTGATTGTCCTTAGAAAATCGTTAGGCATTGTTTTCCTCCTTTAACTTTATATAGTTTGGGGGAAAATGTAGGCTTACTCTCTAAACAGGGAGACTAAGGAAAATGTACAGTGATAAGAATGTGTTCAGGATATATATTTATGTTATAAAAATACCACTGAAATAGTGAGATGAATGCTCTTATGGCCTGATGGAAGCAATCGTATTATCTTCAATAATCAGAGCATTTTTAACAGGTGTTATAAGCAATACTAGCACCTCTGACAGGTGCTGGTGTGTTCACATAGCGCATTTAAATTGTTTCTTGCTAATATTTAGACTATTTAACATCCATAGCATTCATAGCTATTTGTATTACCAGCTATTATTCTTCCTTTTACACTGTGCTCTGTGAAGCAAGATGAGGCATTGTGCTTAATGGAATGGAAAACTTCCTCTTAAAAATCCAAAAATTATACTGCTTAAATTTCAAGTTTTAACAGAATTTATGTCTGTCAACTTTTAAATTAAGTAGAAAATAAATGCTATGCATCATTGGGTTTCTTAGAAAAAGACAAAGAAGTGAAGAGGAAGATAAATACTGTATATTTTCATTTATATGTGAAATCTTAAAAAACAATGAATGAATATAACAAAACAGAAACAGACTCATAGACACAGAGAACAAACCAGTGGTTGCCAGAGAGGAGGGGGTAGAATGGATGAAATAGATGAAGAGGATTAAGAGATACAAACTTCCAGTTACAAAATAAATAAGTCACAGAGATGTAATATACCACAGAGGGAATGTAGTCAATAAAATTGTAATAAGTCTGTATGGTGCATAATCTATAAAAGTATCAAGTCACTATGTTATCCACCTGAAGTGAATATAATATTGTAAGTCAACTCTGCTGTAATAAAAAGGGGGGAGAAAAAGAAGTGCTTAATGTAAACTTTCGTGGTTTTTCCCCAACCATATTTATGTCAGCTGCATTGACCTACAAATTTGTTTTATGCTTGTAGATAAAAAGCTTTGTTTTAGAGAACTCATGAAGCATATCCTTTGTTTATTCATGTCTTGGTAAACCACATGTCTTCTTGATAAAGTAATCCTGAATCAGAAAGACCTCGTTGCTGGGTGTCTTACTTGAGTTTACTTGCGTCTTTATTGATTGCCTTTGCTAATAAATGCTCTCTCCATTGTAATTTAGCTCCATCCCAGCAACCTCCACCCAGAGGACAAGTTCAGAGTTCTTCTGCCATCAATCTTTCCTGGAGTCCACCTGATTCTCCAAATGCCCACTGGCTTACTTACAGTTTATTCAGGGATGATTTTGAAATCTACACAACTGAGGATCAATACCCATACAGTGAGTTCAAAGATTTGGTGATAGAAAGATAGAATATTCTGAGAATTGATACATTAGTTAAGTTCTTTGACATTGGCAAGAAGTGTTGTGGTTTCCCCTGTCTAACATGCAGTGTTTCAAGCTGAGAAAGAATTACAAATCTCACTAGTAATCAAAGAAATGCAGTAAAAATGAGATGCTTATTATTTGATAAGACCTGAATGCTTATCAAATCCTCAAAAGATAAAAAAAATTACCCTTTCCAACATTAATGAGGATGTGGAGAAGCTAGAACTTATATAAACCGCTGGGCTATCTGCATGAGTTCATTGGTATGACTTTTCATGTAGAATAATTTGTTAAAATGTATGAAAAACTCTACTCTTTTACAAACCATTGGACTTAGCAAACCCACTTTAGAAAATGTGTCTCAAATGAATAGTCATAAATGGACACCAAATCACGAAATACGTCCAAACCTGCACTATTTATAATAGAAAAATATTGGAAACACTCAAATGTTCAGAAAACTTTCGGTAAATTATGGTACATGGCATAATAGGATCTGGTACGTTGTTAAGAAGATTGTAGAATATGGTCACCTATAAAAGCTATATTAGTATACCTATCAATGAATGGAAAATGTCCATGAAATATTGTTTAAGCTAACTGAAATATATTAAAAATAATCTGTGAATTGTATTTTAATTCAAAAATATATAAAAATCCTGGAAATCTTACAACTAACTAGTATATAATTTTCTCTGGGTATAAGGATTATAGAAAATTTATCAAATATTTCTATTAGGAGTTCAACTTTTAAACTCTCAAATTGAAAAGTGGACTTTTTGAAAAGGGAAATCAAAGTATTAAAATTCAAGCAAATAGTGTAATTTTATGCATACATTGCCATTTCTACAGATGTAGCGCCCCACAACATGAAATTAAATTGAGAGAAGAAGGGTGTGAATGAACCATGAAGATTACCTTTGTATCTATAACTTTTATGAAGATTTTAAAGGAGCTTGTAGAAATCGAACTATTGAGACCCATTGTCTTTAAAATTTTTTTTACTCAATTGTTTTAAATACCATTTCCCTAAAGACAGAATGAAAACTTGGAAATTTTTGTATCTTCTAGCTCTGTCTTTCCTGTTTACGTCGGTCACGTTTAGCCACAAGCTGGTTTGAGAAATTAGTTTAAGAAACATTGGAGGTGTGATTCCAACTCAAGTTGCCATCTTGTTCTCTTTAATACCAACTTCTCCAAATTCTAGTATCACCTATTGATTAGTTAGAAAAGTGTATAATGCTGTGTGGAAACACTGAAGTCCCATAATCTTCCTCAAAGTGATTAGGAAGGTGCCTTGTTTTAACATACTGATTAGCTTTACAACTTTTTGCAAACGTAGTTTTATTTCGTACATATTACAGTAGGCTACATTTTGTACCCAGTTCCATATGACTTGGTTATTAGTCCAGCACTTCATGTTAACTCTAAATATCTCTTCAGTACTCCAAGTCTTCTTTGAATTTAATGGAAGCTCTGAATTTCATAATGCAGATTGCAAAGGGAAACGAACATCTGTCTACATCTGCCGTGTTGGCAAAGCATTCCCCAAACCTGCTACTTGAATGTTTATTTTCTTCCAAATAGCAGCATGATCCAGGTGTCCTAAAACTTAAGCTTTTGTGACAGGAGAAGAGAGAATTATAAAAATATTGAAATTGATTTTGAAGATGACAGTACCCCAGGTTGAATTATTTCTGAGGTTGTGAATTAGAGTCACTCTATTTTCCATACAGTTTAATTCAGTAGTAAAATTAAACTTCACTTATACCCTTCAGTCCTGAGGCATGTTTTCCAGAGTAACATATTGGGACCTGTTTTATAGAACATTATATGTGAATACAACATTCTGGCTCTTTTTCATGATTGCACTAATATAGAATCCAAATAACAGTTTCTTACATAATAAATGTGTGCTCATTCACTAATCAGACATTTATATAATCCTATTAAACAAGGTATTATTTCTTAAAACCTTAGTTTTCATTAAAAAATGCCACTTCTGGCATTTCTTGACAATCACTATAATTAATGATGTGAAAATTATCTGCATGATGGCATTTGAACAGTAAGAACAATTGCTTAATGCTGTCAGAACTTTGTATCATTCTAATAATACCCTCATGTTTATTACTCTGTTTCCAGTGTGTGGTTCCCATGCATAATATGAAGAGGAAACAGTACTTATATTCAGTTGGATGAACACAAATCTTTGGGTTAAATAAAGGCATTTGGAATTATAGGTGGAGAATCATTGAACTTTTCAAAGAAAATTAATAGTGTTGTCTTGCAAGCAAGTTTGACCGTTTGGTTGAGACCATTATAGAATTCCTTGTTAGAATAAAACTTTTCTCAGCTGGCCTGATGCACTGTGGGATTCTTCAGGGCTGTAGTTTCCAACCTAAGATCATGACACACTGGTATTTTCATCTTTAGAGTTTGCAAATTATTTGTTCTTAGTAATAGCTGCTGATGATAGTGGAATAATTTTAAAATTTGTAAATAAATAATTTTTAAAAGGAAGTTAAGGTATATTCAGTGGTTTCCCTGAGTACAGTTTCACTTGTTTGCATACTCATAAGTTTTTAAAAGTCAGAGAAAAATGTGTGGAGGTAAAGTTAGCACATTGTGGTTAATATCCACTCAGCACCTAATATTATCCGCCCTGAACCCCAATCTGGGTTGCCCACAGATGTTTTACATATTATAAATGTGAAGAGAACAGCTATCACAGGAAATGGCACAGTTTTAATAGTATGGAAATTTTAGGGGGTGGTCAGTAAATCATATTTTTTCCCAGTTGAATTTGAGACTAAAGGTAAACTAGACATAAGAATCAGGGAGGTGTAAATTACAAATAAAAGTCATCTTCATTAATAATAGAAGCCAGATTGGAGAATATACCTTCTGTTCTGCAGGAAGACAGATAAGAAAAAAAAATCATTGGACTGATCTGAGCACGCTTTGCTTTTTTTTTCCTTTCTCCCATATTAGCAATCAGTTAAATCTATCCTCATTTGGGATGCCATGAGTGGGAAGATAGTCCTTAAATTTTACTCCAGGAAAATACTTCCACAGGGAAACTAGAGGATGTTTATTTCTACATGTGACCACTGCTTACATCACCTAAGGATAGCACATAGTTTAAGTTGAGTGTTTTAGATAACAGTATATCTTAGTGAACTCTGAGAGGTCATTTTTGTCTTTAAGATCATTGTCATGTATTATTCCATACTACATCAAAGGACCAGTGTAGCAGTTACCTCTGAGAGAAATAAACAGAAAGAAACTATGAGGAGGGGATAAGAATGAAAACAGAAGAGAAGATAAAAATCAGTTGTTTTAATTATAAAGATCTTAATATTATTTCCTGAAAAAATAGATCAGATATATGTCTGTGTGTGTGTATGTGTATATGTATGTGTGTATATGTATATATGTGTGTGTGTATACATGTATATAATCACTCATTCGTTAATACTTTGTTCCTGCAGACCAGGAACTGTACCAGCCACTAGAAATACAAGGATGGAAGGAATAGTTCTCATTATTGAGAAGAGAAATAGATAAGTAAATGAAAATTGTTATGTAATATATTAAATGTTGGACCAGAATTGACTGAGGGTATTGAGGAATATTCTAAGGGATATTTCTAAGTATCCTATAAATGGAGGAGGGGAAGAAAATCTATCATGCCTGTGGGGGCAGAGATAATGATTGGAACCACTGAAAGTTTCAAATGAGCAGGTGACATGAGCTGAGTTAGCCAGATACTGTGACAGAGCAAGAAGGATTCTCATGGAAGAGAGGCATGAAGGTGTGTGAGAAAATAAGGTTGATTCAGGAAACCTGAGCAGTTCCGTGTAGCTCTGGTGGGCTGTACATTAGGGAGAATGCCACACATGGGGGTGGGTGAGTATCAGCCAAGACCGTGAACCAGTACACCTCTAAGGAGGGATTTCATGATGTTCTTGTGCAATCATTTGTCTAAACAGTGACTTGGATTTTGGTGTGTATAACTTTTTATTATAAAAGTGGTATATCAAATTAAGAAAACTTAAAAAAATATTAAAGCATCACAATTCCAGCATTCTAGTACAAAAACTAATTTCATCTTGGGAAATTTCTGTAATGATATGAATTCCAGTTTATTTTTCATAATAATTCAGTATTATGCACTATTAGATTCTGTATTTTTTCATGTTGCTGTATAGTCTTCATTACTATCATTTTAAATAACTATATAGCATTAGAATCCTATCAATGTAATATTAGAATAATATAACTCATTAAGAAATTTTTCTTGATTTTAATTAAACATTTCCTATTTTAAATAACACATCAGTCATTTTATATGCTTCCCAAGGAAATGTGTCCGAAGAATTTGGCTAAAGACTATGCTCTCATAAAATATTTTTAGTGTATACTTCTGCCAGTCATCAGCTTACTGCTTTTCAGTTTCAAATCTCTTCATTGCCTGCTTTGTGGTATAGGAGCTGGGACCTGTAAACATGTCTCCTTTCCCATCTGGCATGGTGTGAAACTGTATCAGCAGAGGGTGCCGGCGGTGCCCTGCAGGAGGCAAAGACTTCTCTTCCTGGTTCTGGTGTGCACCACCCCCCAGGAAAGCCCTTAACAAATTACGTTCCATCATACACAGCCTCACCTGTGGGCAGCTTTCCCAAGCCCTGGCCTCATGAGAATGAGTTCTGCAAGACACACCCCAGACGGCAGGACATGGCAGCCCCGGTCCAGTCTGCCGATGCCCAGGGGGCACCTTCCCTGGCACTGCAAGTGGCAGCTTCCATCAGTTCCCTGGTGCAGCCTCTCATCATGGACAGCTTTCCTTGGCATGCTGCCAGTAAATTTTTTTCCCCAGTAAGTTTTATTTTCCAGTAAGTTCTGTGGTAGAGCACCTCATTTCCTAGAAGACAAGTTGCAAGGGAGTTCTACCTTCGTGTAACCTCAACAAACATCACCATCAAGTGGGCCACCACTGCACCCTCTCCAACAAAGTCTGGTCTCAGCCGCAGGGCATTCTTCCCATTCTATTCCTTCACTGGGTGCCCTGCCTCAGCACTGGGGGTAGGGACTTTTCCCCATCTCTCCTATTCCTGCATTTAGAGATTTCTGGTTCCCTCAGTAAGTAAAACCTTTTGGTAATCAGTTATTCTTTCTTTGTATTCAGCTTTCCTTGTTCAGATGACTATGTGGTTTCTGTGAGCTGATTGGCCTCTAGTACAATATTCAACGTATTTTCATGAAGACACTGCAGTGATGTATGTAGCAGAATGTCACAGTTACCCTTCACTCAGGTGTTCACTATCTTTGTCCATTAAGGCTGCTATAACAAAATCCCACAGGATGGGTGGCTTAGAAATAACACAAATTTACTTGTCAGTGTTCTGGGAGCTAGAAGTCCAAGGTCAGGGTGCCAGCATGGTCAGGTTCTGATGATGGCCGTCTTCTGGGTTGCAGTCTGCCAACTTCTTGCTGCCTCCTCATGTGGAAGGGATGAGGGTTATTTCCTGGGCCCTCTCTTATAAAGGCGTTAATCCTATTCGTGGACTCTACCCTCATAACCTCTTCACTTCTCAAAGGCCTCCCCCTCCTAGTACCATCACCTTGGGCATTATGTGTCTAGCATATGGATTTAGGGAAGACAAACATTCAATCTGTAGAATGTGCTCTTGTTCAGTCTTCAGTCATTCTCTTTCCCCAACCATCATGATGACCTTCAGGGGGAAGGATGGTTTCCCTCTAGCCCTCTGTTTCTGCAGAAACTTTAGAGGAGGCTGGTTCATTTGAGAGGTGGAGCTGCCCAGACCGCAACCCCTAGGTCTCATGACATCAGCTTCTGATGCATGAAGTTGATGGACATGTGTTCATCCTCATCTTTTAGGTCCTCATGAAAACCCACCATCTCAGCCTCCCCTAGGCTCTTACTATTGCTGGGAATTCTCTTGAGATTTGTTTTCCATGTTCTCTGTCCAACATTTGCGCCCCCCACAAGGCTGGAGGGTCACCTTGTCCCAGTCATAGAAGGTCCCATAGAACACTTGCCGGTTCTCAACACATCATCCTCATCACTCAGGAAATCAAGAAATCCTGTGGGTTAAAACCATACTCCAGATTTTTCTATTTTCCTTCAAGCACTTAAATACCCTGCATCTTCATACTGATAGGGACCACCCGCTGCGTAAAGGCCCCCCCCCACCGTCCCCCACACACAGGCCCATGAGCGAGCAGGCAGCAGCCATGCAGGTGCTGGCGTTGATACATTCCACAGTCCTACAGAATGCTTTTTGTCCCTTAGAGGATGGGAAGTTCCATTCACATGCCTGATCCTGTCCACTACCTCTCATTTTTTTTTTCTTTTACCTCCTTTTTTTTTTCTGTTTCCTTCTCTCTCTACACAATCTTTCATGTCTGTAAGTCCTGCTTACCCAGGACTTCCCTTGTGTGAACTTTCCATTGCTGACAACAAATTGTCTCTACAGCATAGCAGCTTTCAGCAGCAATAATCACATATAATTTCACAGTTTCCGAGGGTCAGAGATTCAGAAAAGGTTCCAGTTAAGATGTTGGCTAGGTGACAGATGTGGCGTGTGGCACTAGGTTGCTGACCCTCGGTCTAAGTTTGTGTCAGTGTCCAATAAACAATCCGATTATATATAAGAAACAGTTTTTCTGTTGCAGGGAAATGCAAGGACTCTTATGCCTTCTATAAAAAGGACACTGTACTATATAAAGAACAAACAAGAGCTTAAACTGCAAAATATGCTTCATTGCAAAAGACATTTTTCTTACATTATCCTGCACAATAAAAGTAATCAGTATTTGCTTTATTTCAATTTTTAAAATATGAACCACACTCTTATTCAAAAGAGTGTATTGGTGTCGTTTACGTAATGACGCTACATAATAGAAAAACAATTAGAAATGTATCCTTACCAATCTGTGGAATGTAACTATTTTCTTCTTTTTTTGTCTTTTAATTGTAGATGTTCAGTACTTCTCAGACACAGCCCTGTTTCCGTACACCTCCTATTCCTACTACCTGGAGACCAGCAGCGTGCACGGTTCCACAAGGAGTGCAGCTGTCACCTACAGGACGAGTCCCGGGGCCCCAGAAGGAAGCTTGAACTTAAGTTACATCATTCCTATTAGCTCAGACGCTGTGACTCTCACCTGGACTGTTCCATCAAATCACTCTGGTCCTATAGAGAAGTATATTTTGTCCTGTACTCCTTTAGATGGCGGCCAGCCGTGTATTTCCTATGAAGGTCATGAAACCACAGCTACCATCTGGAATCTGGCTCCCTTCACCAAATACCGTTTTTCTGTACAGGCGTGTACTAGTGGAGGCTGTTTACACAGCTCACCTCTTTTGGTGACCACGGCCCAGGCACCCCCCAGAAGACTGGGTCCCCCTGAGGTGCAGACCATCAGCTCCACTGAGCTCCATGTAGCATGGGCTCCACCAGTGGAACCAAATGGTAGGAGTTCAAGACCAAGAATGCGTAAAACATGAATGAGAATCTAGGTATTTGAAATTGTGCAGTAAGATTCTGACAACTGTTTTCATTTTTATAACTGCAGGATACAGTAATTGGGAAACGATTTCTACACCTGTAAGATACTATTTGTCCTAGTTAGTAGAACAAGTATATTTCTTTAATCTAATAACAAATTCCATTCATTTACATTGCCCCCTAAAAGGCTAATATTATCTTTGCTCTTAATGACATCTGCCATAACACAAATGATGTTTCTAATTTGAAACTCACTTATGAAATGCATTATATTTGACTGTGTCACAAATTAGGGCACCCAGAAGCAGTAAATTTTCTTTTAAGCAAGAAAATGGTATAAAATAATAAAAAAAAATATGTATATAGGCTAGCTGACTCCATTAAGTTAATTTTTGTGTTCATATAATTGAACCCTTGGTTATATAGGCCAGACACACATTTATAAATTTTTAGTAATTTAGTATCATGTATGTGAGAACCTTTTTTCTTAGAATCATTAAGTTACTTGATAAAACAAGGTAGAAATGAACTGTAATGTTCTATCTATGCAGACAAGGCTTATGGTAAGCAAATTATCAAATTAAAATCCTGAAATTTGAGAACATGCAAATTGAAGGTATGGTAATCAAATTCCCAAAAAGAAGTAGCCACTCTTAGCAGAAATTATGACCAATCTTCCTGAAAAATGTTGAGTTTACCTATCATAAATTATAGTTATTTTGTGTTTGTACACTTTCTCTTTTGATTTTCATTTTCCATGAATATACTTTTTAGTAATATTTCATACATTTATTTAGCCATCTTTTTTTTAATGTAAGTATCTGAATTGTTCTTCTAGATTATCAAGGAAATGGCCAGGTAATCGAATCAGAAGAACAATGAAAGCCAGCACTTTTCAAATAACCTAACCCTACCCCACCCCTAAAATAGTCCATTTATCCAATAAGTTATCTCTGTTCACTGTTTCACTTTTCTAGGCATAGTTATAAGATACGAACTATACATGAAAAGACTGGGATCTAATGGAGAAACCAGGTCAGAAGAAAGTCGAGTGTTTCAGAGCAGTGGCTGGCTCAGCCCTCACCCAGCTGTGGAATCAACCAGTGAAAATGCGTTAGAACCTCCCCAGACAACCACAGTCATCGCTGGCTTGGAACCATACACCAAGTATGAGTTTAGAGTCTTAGCTGTAAATATGGCTGGGAGTGTGTCTTCTGCCTGGACCACGGGAAGAACGGGAGAATCAGGTGAAAATCAGTGCTTTGAACTCTGCTTTGAAAACTTCTGAATGAAAATAGTACCTTAAATTAAAGTCACAGCATTAAAGTACATTTGAAAAGCAAGTGTTACAAACTTAATTAAGCCAAGGACATATTTAATACCCAGATTGGTTACATCAGTAACTCAGGACCATAAAGTTCTTGCAGTAAGTTTTAGGGACAAAATTAATGTTTTAGCTGTTACTTCAAGGGGTAAAAATGACTTAACTATAGTTACAGTCTTTGGGGAGTATTTGTCAAAAATGGCAGTTGGTTTCCAGTCCTGAAATGGGTTGGCCGTATGTCCCGTCTTGCTCCAAATTCAGCACAGTTTAGTCAGTGAAAGAGATAACTGTTACCAGTTTCACAAATCTTTTTTTGTTTTCATTTCTCTTTCCAAAACAAATGGTTTAGATTGCACCTTAAAACAGAATCCTGGACATCAAAATCTGTAATTCACAAAAGTGCTTATAAGCAGTTAGCAATATGGTGAGGAAGAATGTTGAAAAATTTTCATTTTCCTGAGATAGCTTCACTCAGGCAAATGAGATATTTTTAATTCTCCATCTTACTACTTATATTAAAAACACTTCAAATTCCATCAGCCCTGGACAAAAAAAAAATACACTTTTGTTACACTTTGAATCCATGGATATCCAAAGAAACTGAAATCCTGATTTCAGTGGGGTCAGTAAGCACCATGGGGGATGAGTGTGGCTTCAGGTTGATGTCCAGGGGAATCATTTCATGAATAAAATGTCCATTGTGCTTGAGCATCTCTTAATGACTTGCAGCATCTTGGACAAATAATGGTGCCATGCTAGCACAAGTGATGAGCCATGGCATTCTGGAAGGGGAAAACCAAGGTCAGAAATGAGAAGTAATGGGTGAAACTGCAGTACTGGACCCTCATAATCTTATGGGTCACTGGCTGATGAAAGTGCGATGAGGTCCTTTGATAATACACCATTGGTTAGTGCATTTAAAGTCCACATTAAGATCTCAAGGATGATGGGCAGAATGTATGTGTGTACGTCCCTGAGTATTTCAATCAAGATTTATTGAAAACTTTTGAAATTTCTTCAGGGTTATTTAGAACATTTTCAATTTACCTCTTTTGGAAGAGTAAGTGAAATACTTTTCTATGTGAGACATCCAGTATGTTGGCTAGGCATTATCCTAAACTGTTTTCTATTCTATTTACATGACTTATCCTTTCAAATACTTTATAAGGCCTATGGTTTCCTACCCAGTTATCTACCAGTTGTCTTTGTGAACACAAGCGAATTCCTGCTTTTATCTTGTAAATGGAGGATATCTTTGTTCAGAATAGGAAGAGAGAGGATGTTCTTGCAGATATAAAAAAAATGATAGCTTTTATACACACCAGTATAATCCTTGATTTTTAAAAATGAGACTATTATATATTATACAAGGATGGGGTACTTCAGAGACTAGGATAAATGTGTGAATTCAGTTTGAAAACCTGTAACTGCAGCATTCTTTTTTCTTTTTTCCTGTTTTCATTGTCATCGTTAACAGAGCCTGTGTTCATGACTCCTCCTTCCGTCTCCCCGCTCTCACCGGACTCTCTCAACGTGTCCTGGGAGATACCAGCAGATAACGTTACGAGAGGGAACGTCGTGGGGTATAATGTCAGTATGGCTTCTGCGTCACCTCAACGGTCTAGTTCGCTGGTATGTTCATGGGTATTGTTACTTTCAGCTAGTGTCCTTTCAGAATTATGTCTTCATTTTGATATTTTCTGAGTTTGGAGAATTCTGTGACAGAATTTACCCTTATATAATCCTGAAATGGGGCATCTGTTTCTTAATTTTATAGTATGTATGCAAGGCTCTATATATTTAATATCACTAATTTTTTTTCAATATAAGCATATATTGAAACAAAGTTGGTATCATTTTGTTTCGTAAAATCTGCTTTTTCCACTTAGCATATACCCTTAACTCTCTTGCAGGAAGCTGACATCCAGTAGCTGTGTACTGTTGTATTATTTGGGTGTTCAGTAATGATTCAGCCAATCCACAATCAGTTGATATTTATCTTGTATTAATTCTTTTGGAAATGTAACTAATGTTGATAAGAACATCTTATACATGCATTTTGCATATTTCTATTTCCCAAGAAAAATATCTGAGGGATGAAAATTTAACTTAGAACAAAGGTTATGAACATGTTCAATGTTTGGAACATGTAGTGACATACTCCCTTCTGGTATATCATAGTCCAGCCGGCAGTCGGGAGGATAATGATCACAGGTAACAGTTACCGAAGCTTTACTGGGTGCATAGACAAATTCGTTCGATACCTGTAACAGTCCTGGAGGATGAGAGGCTCTTGGTACCCTCCAGTTTATGGTGTGGCCAGCGTCCATTTTTTTTAGCACGAGGGTGACCAATGACAAAGACTGGCTAACGTCAAGCTAATATGTCATTCTACACACTTGGCTGTTTAGCACCTCTTCTGAGGAAGATGCTCTTTGGTGGGTGTTAACATAACATAAAAAGAACTTCACATGTGATGCCTTCTGCCCTGGCCCTATCCACATTCTTCTTCCCCAGACTTCCTGGCCCCTGAGCTTCCAGTCTTTTCCCTTTTATGGCTGTGATCAATGCAACCAGACCACTGCCATGTAGTTCAGGTGTATTTTATCTCTGGACCCTTTCCTTTCCACACAAAATAACCGACCAGGTGCACTGCCTGAAGCTTTGCGCTTTGAGAGGGTTTCCTTAATCGCTGGCTTTTAGGGCCAGCCCTGAGTGGAGCCACAGAGCAGCAAGCACCCATTTTTGACTTGATGAACCACCTACTAAGACAACCCATCTGTGAACCAAACCACATTTTTCAACTCTCTCAGTTCTTGAAGGACCTCCAAGTAGGAGCTGGGATTGAGCCGGCAGTTTAAGAATGGTGGATGGCGTGGGGTCCATACCACCTCTTACACAACACGTATGCCTTCTGGCCCTGCATATGCCCATTCCCGGACATCCATTTCCATTTTATAACGAATTTTGGTTGGGCCACCCTGACCACCAGACTTGGCCTGTGTGACAGAACCCAGCTCATGAGGAGTAGCTCTGGCTGCAAGGCCAATGGAGGTGCCATCGTCAGATGCTCTGCTTTTTGACCAGGGCCCAACAGTGTGTGAGGAGCTGTCTAGACAATGGTGTCTGATTTCCATTGTGTGATGTGTCCTTGCTCCCAATCCTATGGGTCTGCCTTGTGATTCTCTTACTGAGGTTTGCTGTAAGTGTCTCTCGGCATCTTTCTCCACTACAGTCAGCTCCAGTCCCACAGGATCTGCTAAGCTTTATGTCCCCAGGTTGTTGGTCTCCCTGCAAAACAGCCTTGATCCGCTGAAGAGTCCTTTCCTGCTCTGGGGTGCACTCGGAGCTGGCCACATTCCATGGTATTCAATAACTTGATCGGAATAGTGTTCCTAAATGTGGAAAACGCTCTCTTCAGAACCTAAGAGGGTCTGCCAGACAGAACGTGTCCTTCTTAGTGGTGAGAAATACAAGATGCAATAGCCTGACTTTTATTTGGATGTGGTGTCCTGGCATGTCTCAGGCTACTGGACCCCTCAAAACTTTACTGATGTAGCAGACCCCTTAATCTTCAAAAGCTGATCTCCTACTGTGTGGGGCACATAATTCTTGCCAAGACCTCTATGCACCTGCCATTTCTTGCTTATCTGATTCATTTAATTCGATGTTATTAATACGGGGAACCGGTACTGCCAAGGAAGTTTGCATAGTTTTCCTTGAATTGGTGATTGCCTTAAATTTCCCAGTTTGTTTTAAACTGGTGACCTTTAGATCTTTTGTGCCTCACTTCAGTGCATCGCTACTGCCCAGCTGGGGCCATCTGATTCCGCAGTCCTTATAATGACCACTTTCTCCAAAGCAGTCTGTACAGTTACCACTTCCACCAAACTGGTGAACTGCCTTCCTCTGGCAATGCACTCCAGCTCACCACTAATGGAAGAATACGCTGGGGGCCAACAGTATTCCACTCTGTACCTGTGCTGAGGTCCTCACTGCCAGCCAGCTGGTGGGTGAACAAGTTCCAAAAATAGCATTTCAGAGTCTCCTTCCTTGGGCCACCCCTGGTATCACCATCTTAGATCAGGCTCCCTGGGAAATGGATTCAGTGCTGGAGGATTGTGTGCAGGAGGCTTGTTGAGGCGTGCTCTCAGAAACAACGCGTGTAAAGTTGTAAGAGATGCAGGATTAAGCAGAATAAGAAGCTGGGCCGTGACATAATAATGAAAAGGACTAAGCTGATCCTGTGAGTAGTTCTGGAGCTGAAATGATCCTTTAACGTTACCCCAAATAAGTCAAGAGACCAGACCTTTGACTCCAGTGCATTAGTTTCCTTGGACTGCTGTAGCAAATTGTCACAAACTAAGTGACTTAAAACAACAGAAATTTATTCTCTTATAATTCTGGAGTCTGGAGTCTGAAATCAAAAGTGTTGGTAAGGCCACATTTACTCCAAAGACTCTGGAGGGGAATCCTCCCTAGGCTCTGGCAGCTCCTGGTGGCTCCTGGCACTCATTGGTTTGTGGCAACATCAGTCACTCCGATCTCTGCCTGTCTTCACACGGCCTTCTTTTCTTTGTCTGTCTTCTCTGTGTGTCCCTCTCATTTCTTTATAAAATCATCAGACGCTGGATTTAAGGCTCACCCTAAACCCAGGATGACTTGCCTAATTACATCTGCCAAGACTGATTTCTAAATAAGATCACTTTCTGAGGTTCCTAGCAGACAAAAACTGGGGGAGACGCTGTTCAACCCATTACTAAGAGATTTGCCAACCTTACTGAGCTTTTCAGAGGACCAAGCATATACACAAAACTAGAAGAGTAAGAAGAGCAATAAATAATGTACAGTTCTTTGTTATACTTTTCTGTTAGTCTGGATACAAGTGCCAACTAATTTGCAACTGTCTCATGAAATAAAAACACACCTAACATAATGTATATCTTTGAATTTAAACCATATAGTCTGTCGTTTCAGTATATTATGTGATTTAAAGTAAATTTACAGCTGCAACTGCTTTTTGGTCTTTAAATTTAGAAGTTTTTATGTTGTTTTTTGCTTTTTTTTTTTTTTTTTGCTTTGTGAACTAATCTTCTCTTATAAAACAGTTTCAAAATGACTATTACTTCTATTATTGTATTCTATTCCAAGAAAATAAAATAAGAAAAAAACCCTATAGTTTATAAAATACATATCAGAAGTCAACTTGTTTGCTTTTATCCCACTTTTATCAGTTATTAGCCATATCACACATCTCCCGGCTTCAGGTTTTACCCATCTGTAAAATGGGAAAACAATGTCTGTTTATCTCTGCATTTTTTCTGGAGCTTACAGTGCTTGATAAACATTAGATATTATTACTAGTGATTATTATTAATGGGATATAACTATGTTACATTTTATAGAATAACTATCATTCAATGGGGCAGGAAAACATTATTTATATTGACAAAATTGAATATATAAATCTTTTCTTATTGTAGTTTAAGTCTTTTCTTTCTGGCTGAATTAAAATTCGGACATGGGTATGGCACTTTATTCTCTTTCCTGCACTTTCTCCCACAAATATCCATCTACCTAATCATCTGTTCAAAAAAGTGAAATCAAAAGTGCCAAAGTCAATTTTTTTACTTTCTCAATAATTAAATTTGTATCCACACTGACCTAAATGTGTCTCATTATAATCTTGGTAAATAAAAATTTCTGGGGAAAGCCTATTGTAAAAATAACTGTTAAAGGATCTTTGTCTTGGAATGTGGCAGAGGACATATTTAGAAGTGATAATATTATCAGTGTAGGATTTTAAGCTTCTACAGAGTTCTTTCCACCCCTTTAAGGATTAATCCCACAAAAACTTTTCAGTCAGATACATCCTTTAAGGCTTGTTAAGATGATTTTATGTACATGATAAAAGACACAGTTTACCTGAGTGATAATTTTACATGCTCCAAGCTCTAGGATAAATATTTTTTTAAATATCATGTAATTTATAACAACTATATGCAGAGAAGTAAAAATTCATCAAAATTAGTATCAGCCTACATTTTCGACTTATTACATTTCATTCTGTTCTTGAGACAAGGAATACTGCATTAAAAAATGATTCAGCTCTTTAAATTAAATTAGAAATACCTTAATGTATTTTATTTTAAAAACAATTTCATTTTCTAAAAGCCTACAGTAAACCTCTTCATGGTGGTTCTAAATAGGATAAATTTTACAGCAACATTAAGTGAATTTTACTTATTTCAAAATCTTTTCTTAGAAAATTACAAGTCGCATTGTACACAAGAGAAAAGTTTGTCTTCAGCACCTAAATAGCCATTTTATAATTAGAGAATTGATTAATAATTCAGTGTTTGATGTTTTTCTGATTTCTAAATACAATTGCATGAAAATGGTACCAATGTTTTAATTATTTCTAGATTTTTGAATCTCTAAAATCACCTTTATTCCTGAAAAAAGTGTCATGTGAATAATATAATTTATATTCTAATCACATTGGTTTCTACAGCTACTCAGTTTATGAAATTTTAAAGTCAAAAAAAAAAGGAGAGTGGGTATAGCTCAGTGGTCGAGCACCTGCTTAGCATTCATGAAGTCCTGGGTTCACTTCGCAGTACCTCCACTAAAAAAACAATAATAATAATAATTAATTAAAAAATAAAAATTAGAGTCAATACCCAAGCACGTATTCCAAATAAATTTTGTACTCCTAAAGGGAAAACGAACATGTAGAAATTGACTCCAAATGTTACTAATCTTTACAGTTACCTGTGGTATTTATATTTACGGAAGATTATTTAATATTAGGAATACTTTTGTACTCATGCTTGCTATCATCAGTTTTAATGACATTTTTTCTGAGTATAATTACCAGTAGTCTTTGTACCTACAGACTAGGCAAATCTACATGGTTGCTTTTGATCAATTCTAATTATAATGACAGGACCAGCTCTCGGTGGTGATTGTTTACTTGTTTGTGGACCATGGAGTTCCCCTCAGTCCCCTTTGCTAACATCTGCTATTTTTATTTGAAATGGTGTGATAAAGACACTATTTCAGAAAATGTAACTGTTTGATCAATCTGTGTATGCTTATTTGCCAAAGAAAGAGAAGATAATTGAAATTGACTTCGTGTGGATGCTCAGTCATCTTTTTTCCCTTTTTCTTCTGTGGCCTTTTTTTTATTTTTTAAAGCAAATGACGGGATTGATTTAACACAGTGACATCTCTCTGCACCAGCTCCATCAGCTAGCATGTGGACATTACTGCACTGGGTTCGTTTTGGCCAAGCCCCATGGTTTTATTTGGACTTTTTCATGATAACAATGACAATGTCACCATCCTTTATCTCCACCATCGGTGACAGTAACCACACTGCACGCTGCTTTATGAGGCAATAACTTGGTTTCCTCATTTATCCACTCAGGAACTGGATTATTACCTCATAAAACAGTGTGATTGTGCAATTATCAATTAAATCCTAGCTTGTTGAGGCTCTTCAAAAAAACCCCTTTTCCTAATAGTGGTTGGCAATAATTCCCTCTATTGGAATTTGTGGAACTCTGACTGCCAAGCTTACACGTTTCACACTGATTATCTGTTATGTGACTCTTTTTTGCCTTGTAGGTGTTACATACCGCTCAATCCCAAGAACTGTCTTACATTGTAAAAGGACTGAAACCGTATAGGATATACAACTTTACTGTTTCTCTCTGCAATTCAGTGGGTTGTGTAACCAGTGCTCCGGGAACAGGACAGACTTTAGCAGCAGGTAAGCACCTGCTAATGGACATGAAAAATATATTGTGTGTTTATAAACAGACACTTGCAAAGCTGAAAGCTGAGTACTTTCTCTAGTTTGGACTTAATGTTTGTCTTTTCTGCTTTCTTCTGCTCCTTCACTAACCCTGATGTCTACCTGCCTTGACATAATTGAACAGAAAGATAAAGTTTAAGAGCCCTGAGGATTCCTGAGATGCAGGTGTGTCATAATAAGACATATAATTAGATGTATAATTAAATGCAGAGTGAGTCTGGGGCTCAGCTACCACCCTGGGTCCTAACGGTGTTTGAAACTGGTTAGGAGTGTTTAAGAGGCGTCTTATGAGGACTCAGTCTTGACCTTTTGTGTGGCATTGGGTCTACCCACTCCTGCCCTAGGGAGCTAACGGCAGGCATCCAGGAGCTATTGAGTTGCTCTGGTGTTATGTTTGGTTTTATTGAATAGACAGGTGTGTCCCTGTTAATCTGTTTATTATGAATAGGAAGCTCCTAAATACATAAAATTAAACTAAAAAACTTGTTATCAGGTATAATCTTAGTAGGAAATGGTTTGAATAATTTTTTTGCTTGCTTCACTTAGAACAAATTAGATTCATACAAACTTGATTGCATTTACTATTAACACCTACATAACTCAATTACTTAGCAGTTAGTATATTTTCAAATCAGTTTTCCTTTCAGCACCCAACAACGCTTAGTTTCCTGGCGCCCTTGAAGGGAATGTTCAGATGTGAGGAGGGTCAGAAACAGCATGTGAGCATATTTGGCTACAGAAATATTCCTTAGACCTTCCTTACTGTCTTTACGTACAGTTCTACAGTTTGGTTTGGTTTTATTTTGTTTCAGTTCCAGAAGAACTTGTTTGGTTCAAATTATCCCCTCCAAGTAATTTTGTTCCTTCAAATTTTCCGTCAATGAGAATGACTCCAAAATTTCAAGGAATTGTGTTTTATTATCTCTATGATGGAATTCTTTGTATTTTTACATATTTAACCTATATATACGTCAGGTGTATGCATATATTTACAGGGTACCTAGCTTATACAAAGCACTGATATGTTATAAAACTGTCTATTTATTTATTTTTATGGATTCTATTATTAGAGAGGTGCTGAGTATGGATAACAGAGGAAAACTCCCCGTCTTCTTCAGGGGAAAAAAATGTTATAAGTTGGGACTAGAGAACAAAAATTAAAAGAGGGATCAGTCCTGTGGGCTGGAGAAAGTGAAAATAGAAGCCACACCAGCTGAAGACTGGCCTGAAGTCTAGTGGAGGAAAAGGGGACCCCGATCACGTGATGGAGCAGAGCTGACATCACAGCTTCCCGGGGTCGTAAAACATTGAAAAGTCCTCTGGTGTGACTCTCTGGCCAATATTAGTGTATCCTTTGTAACATGCTTTCCAAATGTTTGCGCGACCTGCGTTTGATCCTTTAGTGGTAGGGAAGTGACTACGTCTTAGGCAGACCATACCATGTTTAGAGATGTCTTTGAAAAGGTGAGTTCAAAGGTGATGCTGATCTGAAACGTCTCCGCTTCTATTCAGCATTCTCAATCTACTCCCTTGGGGGCTATCCTTCTTGTTAATTCATTTTCCTTATGGCATTGCTTCCAAGAATGTCTTAAGTCATAACACCTCCACCCAAGTCTTCTCTCCTTCACCCTGCAGACCAAAGTACCTCCCATCTGCACCTTCCATGCTTTAGTTTCCAGCACTAAGAAGACAGGCACTCTCCAGATGAGACTGATTCTGTCTTCTCATAGACACAAACAGGCTAACATAGCTGCAGGAGATGTGCTTAGCTCCAGAGACCAGACAGGTCCTGGAGACAGAAAGAGAAAAGCAGGAAAAATGTCTGTGGAGTGACGTCTTCTCTGTTTATGGCATCGTTGGTCACGTCCCCATGGGTTGCAGCAAGAGTTCCTGTGATGTGGAATTCAACATGCTCTGTGCAGCTCCTGTTGTGGTCACTGGTTGAGGAGGCTTTAGGTCACTCCATCCACTGGAATATTAGTGAAGTTATCTAAGTCATCTGATTCCTCTCTCTGCCTTTCTCCCTGAAAAACAGAACTTGGAAACGTCTATATTCTCTGAAAGCCATACGATGTGCAAGTTAATCGACTTTATCAAATAAGACTATTCATATACTTAAGGGAAAAATGATCAGCTGAAATGCGAGAGGACTTGAATCTGGGCTCTACCGTCTACCCGCTTTGTGACCTTGAGTAAATTACATAACCTCTGTGCCTTAGTTTTCCAACTTATAAAAAGGGAGGGAGGGTATAGCTCAGTGATAGAGTGCCTGCTTTGGATGCACGAGGTCCTGGGTTCAATCCCCAGTATCTCCATTGTGAATAAATGAACCTAATCCCCCCTCGCCCAAATAAAATTTTTAAAATAATATAATATAAAAAAATTTTTTAAACAGGATAACCTATTTTATAGGGTTCTCCTGAGGAATGAAAAGAGTTAATACATGTTAAGTACTTAAAGCAGTGCCGAGAACAGAGTAAATCCTCAATAGAAATTCTTATTTTTATCAAGATTATTATCATAAGTATCATATAAGACTTTTATCAGTCACAGTGTAAATGTTGTAGAATTTCTAATGCTATCAAAATCCTGAAGTGTATTTTACAAGCTTGTTTCCATAACATCGTTATAATATAAATACAACAATGTTGAGCCCAAAAACTAATTGTATTGCAAAAGTAAACTGTAGAGAGGCTGGCATCGAAAAGCATCATTTTTTTCAGTTCTGTAAGGAGTATGTCATTCAGAATTAAGATGTGCATTTCCAAATTTTGATCAAAAACTTTTCAAATTTCAAAACAAATTTCAAATTTGTTGTTGGCAATATAGAGTTAATAATCTGCCATAACCATAGTGTTACTGTGTTTTGTTGTGAATGCTCAATTCAGTAAGCATCTATTAAGGTTAGTGTTCAAAGCACTGTGAGGATTCTACTGTAATACATTCAAAGATAACATAACAGTGTCTGCATTCAAGTGTTGACAGATAACAGGTTGGATTAACCCTTTGGGATCATGTGAGAAAGGATAAAAGAAAGCTATGGGAACAGAGAATATGGGATAGATAACTTTGATTTGGGAAATTATCTCAGGTTAAGTGGCATTTGAGATGGACTGTAAAGAATTGGTAAAGATTTTTGCAGATATTGACTGAACTTATACCACGTGCTTGTCACTGTTTGAGGGACTGGTGCTGTTGCGTCCTGACATGGTGAAGGGTTTATGAAGGTTTCTCCATCGGCAGAGTGTAGAATAGAATAGAAGAGATTGTGTAAAAAGAGTCTGGTAGACGTCCCAAGGAGGCCATGAGGGATAATTCAGATAAATAGAAAGAAAGACTGAAAGAAGGGAATGGAGTGGATCAAAGAAAAGAAATCCATGGGTTAAGAAGAAGGAAGAATTGAAGATGACAGTAAATATCCTAGACCATGGTAACGCCATTAGCTATAATGCGGAAGATGAAGAAAGAACATATGGGGGAAATAAACTCATGAGTTTCAGTTTGATTATTTGATAGGAATATGTCCCTGACAATTATAACCATCCAGCAGCAGAAAATGCAAATCTGGAGCTTAAGAATGATGCAGGTTTTCTAATCAACTGCGTATAGAAGGAGCTTAAACTGTGGCTGACAGCGAGTTAGTGAAGGCAGAGAAAATACAGAATAAAAGTTGATATCTCAGTGAATGTTCACATTTTGGGAGCAAGAGGAAAGGAGTTGTCAACAGAGACATGGTCAGAGTTGGGAAAAGAACCTAAAAAGAGCAGCATCCAAAGTCAAGAGGAGAGAGAATTCTGGAAGGAGATTGTTACAGTCACTGGTGTCATAGCTGTAGGAAAAGCAAGAGAAATGTGAACTATCAGGAACCTTGGGGATCATGAAGACCGTCTGGGCAGTGCTTTGATCAGCATGGTTGGAATGAAGCTGAAAGGTCAATGATTGAACAGTTGCTGGACAAGATGGAAAGGGGTATTTTAAATGTGTCTTTTCTTGTTCTTTGCCAGAATGTTCCTGCTACTCCGTTTCCATTAAAAAATATGTTTACTTTTGTTTCCATGTGAAAACCTTTCTTTTCTGAAGGAAAAAGAATATTTTAGTGTTCTTCTGGGAAAAATGTCTGTTTCTTAATCCCTTAATTTATTTTGCCAGAACCCTATGACACTTTATCTGCCAAGCAGGAAATGAAGTCACTTACATAACAAAAGTATGGACAAGTCATTTTTGCTTGTCACTTGACTTATTATAAAATACAGAATTTCCAGGTGGGTTCAGATCAGGAAGAATGGACTTAAACTTGTTTTTATTGGAATATAAGGAAAAGCCCAGCAGTTACAGATCCAATATCCCTCTTGCCTCCTTTGTTTTCAGTAGATGAATAAGTTTCTTTTCCCCTAAATTTTTCCTGGGATTAAACATCTGGATAGAACATCTGGATAGGTATTAAGTCATAGAAATAGACAATGAGAAAGCCAATCCTCTTGAATGGTCAACAGGTTTGATGTCAGACAGGAGTAAAAGTTGACTTGTCTCCCTGCTCTGTTACAGTTTGGAGAATACATATTACTCCAGTGAATTCTGATGAATCTGTGGGAAATGTAACTCTTAGGCCTAAATGTTGTTCATATGAATTAACTGTCAGGGACAGAAGAAGCATTTAAAAACTTCAGAAAAGGGCACCAAAGATTAGAAGTAGTATTCAGCCTTTTTGAAGCACTGAATCATGAAAACATATTTTTTCCCTTAAAACTCAGTCACAGAAATTAAAAAGATACTTGTAAAGATGTATCTATTTGTTTAAAAAGCTCAGCGATAATTTCCTGTCTTTTAAGTATTTTTTTTTCAATTAGGTGTATCACTAGAATTGGCATATTTCATCAAGAATATTGATGCTACTCCTTTGGTTTTGGTGCCTGTGACAGAGTCCGAGAACTGTTCTGAGAGAGGGTTTTGGCTCC